ACAAAACGTTTCACAAAAAAAAAAAAAAAAAAAAAAAAAAAAAAAGAAAAGAAAAGAAAAGAAAAGAAAAGAAAAGAAAAGAAAAGAAAAGAAAAGAAAAAGCAATTAGAAAGCTATGGCCATAGTGTAGGTTCTCAGGAGATCCAGCCAAAACCCAGTGGTTGATAAAATAGGGCTCAAAGGGAAGGGGAAGGTATTCATGGTGGCACGAAGGGATGACTTAGCTATGTAGGGAAGGTTCTAGAACCATGAGAAGGCAGGGGAAAGAAGGGCAGAGATTAGATCCGGGAGCCAAGGAAGATCACAAGCCGTTCACCAGTTTCAACACTCCTGACTCCCCAGTCTCTATTCCACCCCAGTCCTCACTCGGGGACAGAAACAGAGGTTGTCCCCAAGGAAGAAAGAGAACCTGAGTTGGTCCTGCTGCAGCACCTGGGAAGGAAAGGAGGAGAGGGAGGAGAGAGAAAGAAAGACTGAGGCAAGATAATTTTGGAGAGAAAGAGGTAAGAGTTTTGAAGGTGGTAAATCTGATATCCATGTGGCCTTTTTTCCTGAGGACCACATGCATTCACAGGCCTGGAACTCTCTCTCACTAACATACACTTGTCAGTTTGCGTAGACATCCCAGATCTTCCTTTCATGCCAAATTGTGCTCATTGCAGCTGGGGGTCAAAGGCGGGCCCCCAGGCTGCTCAGAGCAGGGGGCCCTTCAAGTCTACCATGAGGGTCCCAAAGGTGTGGTTTGGCCCTTTGGAGTCTGCAGAGGTTTAGGTAGTAACAACTCACCTGATTCTAGAAAGGGGTGGGAATGGCCCTAGACACCACTGGTGTATCTCAACTTACATTATTAACAATGGTCACATCTGCTCCAGCTTCCAGTAAGATTTTAACCACCTTCTTGTGATTTAGGGCAGCAGCAATATGAAGTGCCGTGTCTCCAGCCTGAAATTAGTCAGAAGAAAGTCTTCTAAGCCCCATCTGCTCATAGGCACAGCCCTCTGGCTTTCCATCCCCTGTTTAGGGGCAGCTCTTCGAAGTCAAACTAAGATTTGCCCCAGACTGACAGGGGCCCTTTGTTAAAAGTATTACATGGTTCTACTTAAAGAGATCTTAGAACTTTGAACTGAGTTTTGAGGGCAATTAATCTGCTAAATGACCTATGCAATAACCGCTCAATTCTTTCTGAGAGGTGATACCAGAAGTCACAGAGCAGGATTAAATGCAGGGGCAAAGTAATGCTGGGCTGGGGTTGAGAGCAGTGGGACCCGCCTCACAGAGGTAGGATGATGGGCAGGAAGCCTGGGCCAGGGGGCCAGTCATCCCAGAGCTCAGGACCCCATTCTCCGCCCAAGGACACCAGAGGTCAGAGAACCGCTTGGTGTCTGAGTGCTGGATTGAGCAGGAGAAGCTGTGAGGATGGCTACTTTCGTAATCACTGGGGGACAGCAGCCCAGCTCAGCCGCCCCAGGTGGCTCTGAAGGGATCACTGGGACTCAATCCATCTGAAGGCTTAGGGTGTTCTTTGGGTGGAGAACTGAGAATGAGTATTCATGTAAGACCAGCTGTTTTCTATCTCTGAGCATACGGCCTGTAAACAAGTGTTCATCATGTCTTTATACAAGAAATATGTCTTCGCGTAATCAATTATGAAAGGGGGATAAAGATAACTGCAGCTTAGGAGCCAATTCCAAATGCAAAGACTGTTATTTTCCAACAGAATAAGATAAATAACTAGATAAATATATGAGAAACGAAATAATCCATTCTCTCTCCTGTCAGGTGATCAGGCAAAGCACCCTGATACTTTCCCCCCACTCGCCCGGGCAGCATGAAAATCCCACCACCTCTGTGATAACAGGGAAAATGTTTGATTAATTTCTAATATGGCTTTGTTGTGTGTGTTATGGGAAGCCCCATAACAGTGTGTTATGGCTTGTATAATTTTTTTGCTCCCACAAAGCTATGGCCATAATGTAGATTCTAAAGAGAATCCAAAAGTTGGTAAGAGTAGTATTCAAAAGGAAGGGGAAGGCATTCAAGGCCTCATGGAGGGGATGACCTAGCTATGCAGTACAGGTTCTAGCACCATGGAAAGGCAGGCGGAGGAAGACGGAGACAGGAACTCGATGGGTGGTGGTTGATGTCCCCCAGAATTCACGCGTTGGGCTTAGCTGCATTGTAAAGGTGTTAGGTGGAAACGTAACTCTTTGGTATCCCACGTGGGGCCTTCGGGTGTGATAATGGCATTAGGATGGGGCTTCCATGAGTTCTGGTGGGTTCACAAGGCGAGGACTTGAGGCAGCAGAAGCCATGTGGAAAGAGAGACCATACTCTGCTCTGCTTGGCTCAGAGTTCTTTCTTCTGCCATTTTGTGATGCCTTTGGACCATCTGGCCACTAAAATCCTCAGTTTTTTTCTTTATAAACCTCCCACTCTCAGATATTTCTGTTAGTAAGACAAAAAATGGACTAAAACACAGTGGTTCCCAGTCTTGGCTGCATATTGGATTCAGCTGAGGGGCACTGAAACTACTGGCGCCTGCGTCCCACTGGCAGATAGTCTGTTTCCATGGCCTGCAGTGTTGGGTGGCACACTGCAGGTGACGGTAACACACCACCAAGGTGCAACCTGGTGATCTAGAATCCACTGGGGAGGCTGTGGAGAGACAGGCTTTGATATTTTAGTAGGTCAGTGGCTACACAGACAGGGAACCTTCTAAAATACCGTCACCTGGGCCTTACCCCCCCAGAGATTCTGCTCTTTTTAACTTGGGTGGGATCCAGAAATGATATCTTTAATTCCCTTGTTGATTCTCATATATAGCCAGAGTTAGAAACTGCTGCTACAGGCTATATGATTCTATCTGAACCACAACCTGATTTTTAGAAAAAGCTCAGATTTATACACCCAAACTCAGAGGCCTCACTGAGACATCAATAAATACCAGGACAATCTTTTTTGATCCAAAGGACTATGGAAAAGCTTGCACATTTCTGTGGAAGACAGTAATAAACACAGCTTTACTTCAAAACCCTACCTTATGGCAGACATACAGAACATGTACCCAATTTTAAGGAAATAAGAAACTACCAGCTCAAATAAAAGTAAGTGGCAGGGCAAGGAACAGAACTCAGGGACTCATGAAACTCCAAATTTCTTTGCCTTTTTACTAAGTCACACTCTTCCTTGTGGGTTCCTTTTTAAAATTCATATTGAAAACACAATCTGCCCCAGGATATCCAGAAAATGTTCAACATGGGAATGTGATGATATGCATGGAAATGGTAAAGGTGTGCTTTCTATAGGAGGCCAGGTAAGCCAGGGCTGTGGGAACTCAGGGAAACACCCATGCACAGACCTGCACTGGTGGAGTCCCAGACAGGTCAGAGGGCAGTATTCCCAGCAGCCTCTGGGCCCGTCTGTGCTAACACACCTGTCAAGTAACTCTCAGGGAGGGGTGCTGGCAGCCGTGAAGAGGATACATGCACTGACCTGGTTCTTTTCATGGACAGAACAGAAAGCACTGAGGAGGAGCCTAATGATGGACAAGTGATTATAGCGCGCAGCGACGTGCAAACAGGTATCGCCTGCCTGCGGACAGAAATCAAACTCTAAGCATAGTCTCAGCAGTTACCAAACAAAACAGAAAAATGGTAAGACATATCATTGAAAAGCCGGCATAGTCTATAAAGCTATTATATAGTCTTTAGGGGTGTTGACCTGAATTGCAAGTATCTTTTTAACACAGATGCTCCACTCCAAGACCCCAGTCCTTTGTCACTGTGGTGGTTGGGGCAGTCCTGTTTCCATCCATGCAGAAGAACCATGTGATCAACCAGAATCTCTGCCTCCATGCTTATGAAAGTGGATCCCTGCTTCCCATAGACCTTTGGAAGAGGTCAGGTAAGCTCTGCATACCAGTATTTGATAAGGATCCACTGACCCCAGCCTCCCCCATAACTCAAAGGATCTTGAATAAACAATGAAGATCACAGCACTGGTTTAGAAATGGCCTTTCTCAGCATGGATTCACTGCAGTGGAAAGGCCAGGGCAGCAAGGTTAGTCAGATTTTAAGAGCACATGTGTCTCCCCATATTCAAGGAGCATCCCATTGCAGTAGCGCCCCAATAGCTTATATGGAGGAATAGCCTACGAAGCTAATGAGGAAGCAGTCAGTAGGAGCAAAAAAAAGGGCATTCAGAAAAAGTCAGGATCTTCATTTGTTTGTGGGCATGGGCCCAACGCTGCTCCCGGAGAGACAACAGCAAAACTGGAGACAGCAAGTCCTGGTGCTCTGCAGTGCTCTCCTGGTACTTTAACTGCAGCTCTGTCTAGAGCATGGCGGGGCGGCCACTCAGCAGAACTTTCTCCCCTGCATGCATAAGGAGCCGAGCTCAAAGCTGAGGTTTTGAGAGCTGCCTTCTGTGAGGCTGCTACTGTGGCAGCAGAATCTCTAGCCAACATGGCTAAGGCATGATTCATATGACCTTTCAGGCCAGGCCGCCTCTATGAACTATTGCCCCATCAGCTCATCAGAAGGACACCTCAGTTATTAGTAGGAATGTGTAACAGATCTCCCTGTAGGGCGTGCTAACAGCAGCGTGCTTTACATGGGAAAGGCTTTTCTCCTTCTTAAAACATTTACAGGTTTCTGAGACTATCTTGGCCAGACACATGCATTAAGAAATGATAAACTGAACTAAAGTGGAGCAGTGATGGGAAAAAGATGAGAGGAAAGCAGTATTTCTCAGATTCTGACTCCTCTTCTCATGCCCCTAGACAACCCCTTAGGAAATTAGCAAAAATCAAATGCTTCAGGGAAAGTCCCCCATACGCTTTGCATATTTGAATTTCTAAATGCGAATATTTCAGTTTGCTTTTGGGGTTCTTTTGCAAGGTGACATGACAGGGTGCACACGCGAGACGCCAGTTTTGTTCACCCACGTTATTTTTGAGGTCGGCGCGGGACCCGCCCAGCAGGAGGATGCGGGTGCTCTGGGAGTGGCTGTTCTGGCAGGCCAGGTGCAGAGCCGTGTTCCCTGCCTTGGAGAGAGGCAGAGAGAAAGGAGGACACATTAGCAACACGCTTCTGCACAGACCTGCTCTGGGCACGCCTTGCAGAGAGGTGATACTTACTCAGAGGGGAAAAGTCAGGACTCACATTCTCTGCCTCCTGATCCGGGGTCCCAGCAGGGTGCTTCAGAGGCAAGAACATTTAATTTGGAATCCAAAAGGCAGAAAAGCCCTATCTGTCTTAAAACCTTGGTTTCTAGTCCTCGCTCTGCCACTTACTAGTTGAAAGCCACTGGGCAGGGCTCTTCATATGCTCAGCTGGAATTCCTTACCTGTGAAATGCAGCATGACCCCCAGCCCTGAGGCTGTGAGGATGGATTCAGAGGGCCTAGGAAGACATTTTCTGAATGGTGCAATGCTGTATGCATGCACGACATTGAATTCCCTGCAGAGAGGACTTCCTCCTCCCCGACATGGACAGCAGCTGCAGCTGTAATATTCCATCAACTGGTGGAGTAAAAAAGGCAAAACTGGCCACTTCCAGGAAGTGCAAGCCAACGATAACTGTGAGTCTTTTTGAAATTGTTACCTTTTGTATTTTTCTTGAAACATCAAAATTTGAACTATGGGGAACCAGCAGTTAGCATAATGGCTATGTCGCTGGACTCCCACGTAGTTGACCACGGTTCGTGTCCTGGACCCGGTGGCTTAAAACTCACGCCGGGCGCGTGTGCGTGCATGCCCAAGATCCGGAGAGGAGAATGGAGGAGAAGGGATTGCGGCGTGACCATCCCCCCTGGGGGGTGATTTCTCGCTTTCTGTCTCTATGTCTGTCTCTGTCTGTCTGGCGAGCGCACGTGCCCTATAGCAAAAAAAAACCTCTCAAAAAAAAATTTGAACTATGAACAAGGTGCCCCACGTAACGGACAATAAAGCTGCATCTGTCACTTAGCATATGGGTTGAGACTCCCTTGTTCTTTGCATTCTACCTTCAACACACACGTCACAATGACAAGTAAAGTTCCAAATAATGGCCAGAGCGGTCTTGCAGAAAGAACCGCATAACATGACCAGAACATTTTGAAAAGAGGAATGAGTTTTAAAAAGAAGAGGAAGAGATTGAGGAAAGTTGATGTGGCCAGGTCACTTACCTGCCCCTCACAGTCTATGCTCTAGTCAGCCTGGGCAGACCTTTTTCCTCACTGTTACCTCCTGGCACATGGAGGACGGCAAGCCTGGGGGTTTGGTGAGCTCAGTGGTTCCCCACCCTCCGCTGCACATTAGAATCACCTGGGAAACTTTAAAAAGTACCTGTGTATAGCTGCAACCCTTCTAGGGACTCTGATACCCTTGGCCTGGGGGCAAAGTCTGGGCTATCCCAGCTTTTCACTGGAAGTCCCACATTTGGGAAAACCCGAGTTTCCAGAGCAAACTGGGTCAGTCAGTCACCATCCGCCTCCTTGTAGGTTTTTTCAGTTCTGTTTTGTTTTTGTTTTTCCTGTTTAAAATTTCCCAGGAGATGGGACCAGCAGATGGCATAATGGTTACATCACTAGACTCTCATGTAGTTGACAGTGGTTCAAGTCCTGGACCCAGCGGCTTAAAACTCACACTGGGTGTGCATGTTTGTGTGTACCCAAAATCCCTGGAGGAGAATGGAGGAAGGATTGTGGTGTGGCCACCTCCCAGGGGTGATTTCTCACTTTGTGTCTCCCTGGCGGCAAGCGCACACATCCTATAGCAAAAATCTCTCTAAAAAATAAATAAATAAAAATCCCCAGGAGAGCATACATGCAACCGAGTAGAAAACCACTGCTAGCTTAGTTCTCAGTAATGAAGAAGCTGCCCACAGTTTAAACACTACCCTCAAATTGTCTCCAAGTTTTTTGATTTGTGGCAGTCATTAAAATATGCTGAATAAGTAAGTAAAATAAAAGAATTTGGGGACTGGCAGGTGGAGGGGTGGTTGGAGTGGTAGACTCCTACATGGCCACCACAGTTCAAGTCCTGGATGTGGAAGTTTGGTTTTTCACTTTCCCTCTCTCTCTCTGATAAATTAAAAAAGAAGAATAAATTAAAATATAATAAATAATTCTTTAAAAAAAAAGAATTCTGATGACTATAGAAATACATCATACTAAAGTTTGTTTTGCCAGTAAGAAAATATTCATTACATGAAAAAGCATTTAGATCAAGAAACCTAAAAACCATAGATTTGGATAAACAAATTGTAGTATATTCATACAATGAAATACTACTCAGCAATGAAAAGGATGGACTCTTCATATTTGGAGGAATCTCAAATACACTATGCTAAGTGAAAGAAGCCAGATACAAAAGGATGCATACCATGTACCTGCATTTGTATATCATTTCTGAAAAGACAAGAGATCTGTAGTGGCCAGTGGCTGATGGGGTGGTGAGGGACTGCCAACAAAGGGCACAAAAGAACATTTAGGATGATACCTTCTGGTAGAGGTTACACATCTGCATATACATTGGTCAAAACTCATTGAAACAATATGACTTCATATGGAAGGACAAACTTACATATCTCAAAACCCGACATTAAAAAATGTGACTGGTGGGGCCAGCAGGTGGCATGATAGTTAAGGTGCTGGACTCCCACATGGCCAACTGTGGTTCAAGTTCTGGACCTAGTGGCTTGAAACTCATACCAGGTGCATATGTGTGTGTGCCCAAATTCCAAGTAGGCGAAGGGATTGCAGTGTGGCTATCCCCCTGGGGATGATTTCTCATTTTCCCTCTCTCTCACACTCTCTGGTATAAAAAGAAAATGTGATTACACACCAACTCATGTTCTAAACCATGCACCACATTGAAGAAATGGAGCAGCCACTGGCCTGGCAAGCAGAAGCCAGACATTATGGGAAACACTATCAATATAATGCAGAGCTTGCTTCTTTCTCTCAAGCTTTTGACCTATGAGGGAACCATAAGAGACATTTAAGTGGAAAATGATAGCACAAAAGTGTGTACAGGTAACAGGGGGGCAGCATCGTGGTAACATGGTGGTAACACGGCTAGCTCCTATGGGAAAATTCTGGGATCAGGTCCAGACACCTCCCCAAACACACGAGGCAGGTGTGTGTCCACAGTCTAGGGCTGCCTGGAGCTGGAGGTGGATCATGGTATGGGACCTGTTGGGGGTGCCTGTCTTCTCACACATGGAAGAGGGAAATAAATTTCTACCTTTTAAGAGAATCATTTTATTTTACCGTATTCATTTTATTTATTTATTTTCTTTAATTTGACCAGAGAGGAAGAGAGAGAGAGAGCAAGCGAGAGCGAGAGAGTGCCAGCTGCCAGGCCTGGGATTCAAACAATAGTCGGTCATGTGGTAGTCCAACTCCCTTAACCACCATGCCATCTGCCAGCCTCAGACATAAATTTCTTTTAAAAATTCGTTTTTAGGGGCCAGAAGGTGGTATAGTGGTTAAGGTGCTGGATTCTTGTATAGCTAACCACAGTTTGAGTCCTGGGCCTGGAGGCTTGAAAAATCTCACCAGGCAGGTGTGCGTGCATGCCCAAAATCCCAAGAAGAGAATGAAGGAGAAGGGATTGCAGGGTGGCCATACCCCCCCAAGAGGGGGGAGTGATCTCTCATTTTTCCTCTCACTATCCGTCTGTCTCTCTTTCTTTGGTGGGCACAAGTGCCCTATGGTAAAAACCTTTACAAAAATTCTTTTGTAAAATAAAGCTGGGTCTGTGCCAAGGGAGAGCTGCAAGAAACAGCCTAAGAGTTTTGAGGAAGGAGAGACCTTGGGGGCCTGGGTTGGAGTCCAGGCAGAATTGAGGACTGAGCTTGCCTCAGGAAGTGGATGACAGAGGAGACAGTGAGCCCCACTCTGATAGCACTGGAGGCACAAGCTGGGAAACAGTGCAGGGGAGAGGCTCTGGGTATAGGCTGGGGAGGGCCTTGCTACTGAGTCAGGCTAGACAGCTTTACTGGAGAGTTCTGAACAGAGGAAAGGCAAGATGAGCGGGGACTAAACTTGAGCTAGCTGACCTGCTTTGAGGTTTCTTCGACAATCCAGGGATACTGGGTTGTTGCGCATGGAGAAAGGAACAGATGGGAGACATGAAGGAAATGTCCTAGACGTGATGAAGGACAGGAGCATGGAGACAGGTGAGAATGAGCGAAGAGAAATGTTATAATCTTCCGCTGTATCCATGAGGACAAGAATAGCAGGCTTGATCACACCCTCTAACACATCACTGGGAAGAGCTGGGAAATTTCAAAAGTGGTCAAAGCCATGGGGGTAGGTTCTCTTGCTCACCATACAGACTGTTCACTAAAGAGCTTCACGTTTTCATTTCTATTTCCTGCAGCATATGTGGTCCAGAGAAGTCACTTCACTGATTTTTTTTTAATCTATCATAGTTTAATTTCCAGGGATAACCACTTCTTGGGGGAATGGCTACTCAGCAGTTCCTTCCTTTCTATTACCCTCTCAGGATCTCAGGCATATGCACACATGCACTGGGCATACATTTTTTTCTTGAAAGGTTTTTTGCTATAGGGTGTGTGTGCTTGCCCAAGAGACAGAGACAGAAAGCAAGAAATCTACAGAGGCACAAGAGATATGAGAAGCCAAGGGAAAATAGTAACTCCTCATCCTCCACAGACAGTACAATGGAAATTGTAGAAATGTCAGATAAAGAATTTAGAATATTCATAGTGCAAAGCTCACAGAAATGCAGAAGAAGAGAGACAAGGAGTTCCAGAAGATGCAGGAGAAAAGAGACAAGGAGTTCCAAGAGGTGAGGAAGTTCTTGCATGATCTGAAAGAGGAGATACACATCATAAAAAAGAATCAAACAAAATTGTTAGAGACAAAGGCTATAATACAGGAAATCAAAACCTCCCTTGAAAGTATTAAAAGCAGATTAGATCATGCCAAAGATCAAATCTCAGACATTAAAGACAGAACCTCTGACCTAAAAAAAGGTCACCAAAAAGACTGAGGGAAAATATATATGAGTAATACTAGATACCATTAAAAGCCCAAACATCCGGATAATCAGTATCGCAGAAGGTGAAGAAACTAGTAAGGGCATTGATAATCTATTCCATGAAATATAGGAAGAAAACTTTCTACACCTAGAGAGGCATTCAAATATCCAGACCCAAGAAATACAAAAAACTCCACATAGAATCAACCCAAGATCTTCTCCAAGGCACATCATAGTCCGATTGACCAAAATCGCAGACAGAGACAAGATACTAAAATTGGCAAGAGAGAAACGTCAGGTTACTTTCAAAGGATATCCCATCAGGCTAACAACAGTGGACCTCTCATCAGAAACAATGCAAGCAAGGAAAGCATGGGAAAATATAGTCAAGGTGTTGAGTGAAAAACAATTTCAACCAAGAATACTATACCCTACAAAATCATCTTTCATATGAGAAGAAAAGATAAAAACATTCTCAGATAAACAAAACCTGAAAGATTTTACCAACACCAGATCAGATCCCCAAGAAGTTCTAAAGGGAGTGTTATACCAGGAAAACTAAAGTTAACACACAGAAATAAGGGTATCAAAAACAAACAAGGGGAAAAAAACAAAACCGAGAGAGGGACTGGTGGGTGGTGTGGTAGTTAAAGGCACTGGTCTCCCACCCAGCCGACAGCAATTCAAGTCCTGGACCTGGTGACTTGCTTTCTCACTTTCTCTCTCTCTTTCACATGCAAACACACACGCACGCACACACATACACACACACACGCACACGCACACACACACACTGTCCCTCTCTGGTCAAATTTAAATAAATAAATTAATTAATTAAATTAAATAGTTCTTAAAAAAACAAACAAACAAGCAGAGAACGACCAACTTAATGGTAGGGACGAATTTGGAAAGATCAATAATAATGCTGAATGTTAATTTCCAGAGTTTAAACAGAAAGATCAGACCATAGTAACACTGCAAATTCAACAGAAGAGAGATTAGTTACATGAGACTGAACTGGTAAAATAGAATTTTATGACTTTTGACTAAAACATTACTGATTTTCTTCTATGCTTTGTTTTCCAGATTTAAGGATTTTTGTCTTCTCTTGAATTGTTGATAGTTCATCTACCTACTGTTTGAACTGAATCCAGCCTTTTTCCTGGCTTTAAGTCATAGTGAAATTTTTCTTAACCTTTTTTTATTTTGATCTATTAAAACTAAAACTGTCTTTCCTGAAGTTTAAAATGCATTAAAGAAATACCTATTTAATGACTGCAGTAAGCTATATAGTCCCAGCTATGTGCTACTTTATCGTATACTCATTCTACTCACTGAGGTTTACGCCTAAAGTCAGACATATGTTCATAGATATGAATATATCAGCTGCACTTGCTATTGAAAGTATTTAGATTAATTAAGAACTTTTGTGAATCAATAAAATGTGGGGCAAAAAAAGGCATGGAAAGCAACTGTAGATACCAGAGAATGTGGGAGGAGGGTGGGAAATGGCAGATGGTGTGAGGTAGGGAAGCAAGAGGGGAGAAAAAAAGAAGCAAAATATATAAGAAATAAGAAATCAGAAATTATTTGTTGAAGATAATACATATGGTAAAATCCTTGATTGAGCCAATATATAGTGTATTCTGGATGGAAAAATCTCATTTTATATACTGTAATGATGTACAGTGAATGTATATAAATAAACACATTTAAAATAAAATTTTAAAAAAGGTAAGAAATCACCCCCTGCCCCAGAGGGGGATAACCATGCTTTAATCCCTTCTCCTCCATTCTCCTCTCAGGATTTTGGGCACACATATACACATACCCGGCATGAGTCTGAATGAAGCCTCCTTGTCTGGGACTTGAACCATGGTTGGCCATGTGGGAGTCCAGCGACATAACCATTACACTATCTGCTGGTCCTGGGCATACATTTCTTCTTTCTTCTTTTTTTGGAGAGGTTTTTGCTATAGGGCGTGTGTGCTCACCAGACAGACAGAGACAAGAGAGATAGAAAGCAAGAAATCACCCCCCAGGGGGGAGACCACGCCGCAATCCCTTCTCCTCCATTCTCCTCTCGGGATCTTGGGCACGCACGCACATGCGCCTGGCATGAGTTTAAGCCACCGGGTCCGGGACTTGAACCGCAGTCGACTACATGGGAGTCCAGCAAGGCTGGCTTAACAGGTCTTTTGCCTGACATTGCTGATGAGAATCTTGTGTATAGATGTGTGTCCAGGAGTTTCAAGCAAGAGATATTATGGTTTCAGATCCTACTTTGTCATGAAATTGTGAACATACTCTGCATGTGTGTGTATGTCTGTGTGTGTGTCTAGGGGGCTATTTACTGCTGTCCATAGACCCCATGTTGCTGTCACCTAGAACATCTTCCTATGCAGCTGAGTTGGTAACCACCAGCCCCAAGTACAGTCACTAGCTGTGATTTGGGTGCACAAGTGCATTGTGGGAAACCCTCAGGCCCCTGTAAACCCTTGCCCTCAGACCCAGCCTGGTTGTCAAAGGACAGAAAAGAAGCAAGTCTTTTTATGACCTCTTCTTACCACTCCTGCACATATCTTGAGTTTTTAAATAAAATATACCTTTTCTTCCAGTTATTAAAAAATAATCTGTTCATTTTGGGAACTTTGAGAAAGGTACAATTAAAAAAAAATCTATCATAGTTTAACTTCCAGAAATAACGAATAATGTTTGGTGGATATTCTTTTTGTTGTTGTTAAAAGGTATTTGCCATAGGGTGCACGTGCTCATCAGCGAGAGACAGAGAGAGAAAACGTGTGAAATCACTTCCTGGGGGAATGGCCACCTTGCAGTTCTTTCCTCTCTACTCTCCTCTCAGGATCTTAGGCACGTGCACATATGCACTGGGCATGATTTTCAAGTTACCTGGTCTGGGCCTTGAAGCATGGTCAACCATGTGGGAATCTAGAATCTTGACCACCCTGCCACTTACCACCCCCAAAGCTTAATTTTTTTATATATATATAAAAATTTATGTTAAACATTGGGACACACAGTATATATGATTTTGTACCCCTCTGTCATGTTCTTTAACAAGAGCATTATCTTCAAAGCTATGATTTTAATGATATTAACTGCATTCCATTATATAAACAAACTGACTTTTGAATCCTCCTCCCCACATTTTAAAAAAATAACTACTGCTAGTATCAGCAGATGGCTTAGTGGTTACATAGCTGGACTTCCACATGGCCGGCAGTGGTTCAAGTCCTGGATTTGGAGGCTTAAAAATAACACTGGGCATGTGTGCATATGTGCCCAAAATCCCAAGAGGAGACTGGAGAAGAAGGGATTGCGGTGTGGCCATCCCCCCCCGGGGGGGGGGCGGGGGGGGGGGAGGGCAGGCGGTAATTTCTCAGTTTCTGTCTCTCTGTCGAGCACAGATGCCCTATAGGAAAAAAATCTCTCTTAAAAAACAAAACAACGAGACCAGTAGTTAGTGTAATGGCTATGTTGCTGGATTCCCATGTAGCTGACTGCGGTTCGAGTGTTGGACCTGGTGGCTTGAACTCACGCTGGGCGCATGTGCGTGCGTGCCCAAGATCCCGAGAGGAGAACGGAGGAGAAGGGATTGCGGCGTGGCCATCCCCCTAGGGGGTGATTTCTCACTTTCTGTTTCTCTGTCTCTCTTTAGCGAGCGCAAACGCTCTATAGCAAAAACCTCTCCAAAAAAAGAAAACACCACATAAAAAACCCAAAAACCAAAAAACAAAAAACAAAGGAACTACTGCTTCATGAACACCCCTATGAGTAAATTTTTACCAGTGTATTTTATTGCTTTTTAGAATAGAATCCTAAAAGGGTGGTAACTGGGCAGAAAGATTTGAGCTTCTTTAAAAAAAAATAAAAGAAATTGTCAGAGAGCACGTGTGCTTGCAGGAGAGAGGTGGAGAGAGAGGGGGAAAGGTAGAAAGCAACTCCCATGGGAAACAGTCATATTGTAATTCCTCCTCCTCCATCTCTCCATTCCTTGAGGATCTGGGGCAAGCACACGCAGCTTTTCAAGCCGCTAGCTCGGAGATTTAAACCATGCATTTGGTCACGTGAGATTCAGCAGCATAACCATCACACCACTGGCTGGACCAGATAGGAGCATTTTGTTTATTTGTTTTAGGTTTTTGCCATAGGGCATATACTTTTGCCAGGGAGACAGAGAGAGGGAAAGTGAGAAATCATCCCCCAGGAAGGATGCCCACACTGCAACCCCTTCTCCTCTGTTCTCTCAGGATTCTGTGTGAGCACAGGCACAAGCACCCAGAGCAATTTTTTAAGCTGCCAGGTCCAGAATTTGAACTGTGTTCTGCCATGTGGTCATGCCTTAACCATGTCACCTGCTGGCCACAAATAAAAGCATTTTTAAGGCTCCTAATTTGTTCTGACAAATTGCTCCCCAAAGGTAGCTATTCCTGTGACACTTTTCCCAGCAGTATCCAAATGAGCCCACTCACCATACTCTTGCTAATATTAGGTATTAGCATCTTAAAGTTCTTCTGCTGCTATGTTTTAAATGCTGGCTCTTTATTGCTATACTTTTTGTGTAAAATGATAGGGCTAGTAACCTGAGGCACTCAGGGGCCTCTCCCGTCAGCAGGGATTCAGCTCTATTGGCAGGCTTGTTTCTGACCTAGAGTACCAATCTGCTTCTAGCCTTCTCTGCAAATGAAACTTCTGGATGGGACTGACCTTCCACTTGTCCCTCTGAGCTCTCGCTCAGCTCACTAGAGGCACAGGAGGGAATCCCACAGCCATCCTCACCTGTGAACCAGGAGTCCTAGCACCTGCTGGGTCTCACCTTGTTCCTGGCAAGCACGTTGGCCCCTGCTTTAACGAGCAGCTTGGCTGACTGGCTGAAACCATGCCAGGACGCTTCATGGAGAGCCGTATTCCCATCCTAAGGAACACACGCCGGAAAAGGCACGTTACCAAAGACCTAATTGTTCTCAGTATAGGCAATATGTTACGAAGAGATTTTAAGATATCCCACAGGGCATTTTGCGACTGAGGCTCTCCTCTGAACTACCAGTTTCTCCAATCTCTCAGAAATGGTACATAATAAGAACCACTCAAGATGCACAGAACAGAAGTGAATTTGTGATGTACAATGGTTGCCTCAGACTTTAGGTCTTTGTACTCTCTGGGAGGCCCAGTGGAAAGGCTCCAGGGCCCATCCACTGCTCCAGATGAATAAAGGCAAGTCAAGACAGCATAGCGTCTATTCCTTCCCACCTCCACTGCACCCTGGAGACTGTTCTGGCCTGGCACCAGAGAGAATCCTGCAAAGACCCAGCAAAGAAATAGTTCACCTTAAGGTCCAGGGACCTGAAAGGAAGATTCTCCTCTCCTTTTTTCACTAAAATGTAATCTTATCCAATTTACCCAGAAGCCTCAGGGCCCCGAACAAATGAGCAGGCACTGAGAAAATAAGATAAATGTCCTCAATACATGGTTTTAAAATAAAGACTAAAATATAACTTGTATTAAAACTTACTACACACACATACACACACACATGAAGTAGCATTAGGTGCAGTGAATGAAGTGGGGTGGGGCCAGGAAGGCAGGAGGCAGAGACCCCCCCCACACACACACCAGACTGCCCCAGGCCTGGCACATGGCTGTCAGCCGGCCGTGTAGGTACACTCTCCAGTTACCTCTGGCTCAGGCTTCAACTTTTACTCAACCACAGCTGAGCTCTTGGAGATAGCTCACAAGGCTTACTGTGGCTGACACCCCCAAGGGGAAAGCTGCAGCCCTGAAAGTAAAAGAGTGGAGTGGAACTGGGAACGGCTTGGATGGTGTGTGGCCAGCCGGGGGGACTGACCCCAGAAAC